CTGTTGCACAGGTGAGAGCTTTTGACACTATTGATTTGGGAGGAGGGCAGAGAGTGCAAGACATCAATACACAGTGGTATCATAAACTTCATGTTACGGCCTGCTGTGGTTCATACACACTCTTCTCTCCGTGGCCATACCAGTCGTTTTTTTCCTGTCCATTTAATAAATTACCTACGGTTAGCTCTGGAAATTGTTYAATGCTGACATATTTTTCATCGTTTTACCCAACCACATTGAAGTTCAAGTTTCATAATCAATGTTGGCTTAAAGTTCAGACTTTCAGTCTTAATGAGAAGGTATTCCCTTCAAAACTGYGAGAAGCTCCTAGGAATTTCTGCTGTTTAATATGCAGAACGCACTCTTCCAGTGGCTGAAAAATAATTGGAGAATTGAATCAAAAACCATTTTATGGACATCTGCTGGCTACTCATTCATTGTTTCTTGGGCAATTAAGCAGGTAAAAGGTCTRGAGCAGATTCCAATTGCGTTTGGAAGCTGTTGCTGTAAATTTAGAACACAAGATTTCAGCTCAAGTGATACAAGTCAGCAGAGTGTGCAAAAAAACCAAACAACAAACTAATTAATCACGGTGACAGGTGCAATATTATGATTGGTCAAAGCAAAAAGCAGATTGGTATGTTGCGAGGAAAAGCAATCATTTGTGAGCACAGCAGCACTGAAAAGGCCTGGATGTTCTCCAAGGAATTCAGTGATGGATGATCACAGGATTCTTTCCATGGTAAAGAAAAACCTCCACACAGTATTCAACCAAAGGARGAAGACTTTCCAGCAGGTAAACATATCATTATGCAAAAAGAAAGCAAATGTATTCAGAAGAGCAAATACATAGGTGTCCTAACAAGGGGCTTCTTACAACCTCAGACATTTAGGGGTCATTCTTTTTAATGAGGCAGTCACAAATAACAAAAGCTGCTTGGTGATTTTTTTAATTTAAAGGGATATGTTGTGTACGCAGATTTACCTTGACATAAAAAATTTGCCTGGATGGTGATTTACAGCACAGACGAACAATCAATTTTATTTTTAGAAACAACATGATACGTGTTCTGCACTCTCAAAGCAAGAATTTAACATAACTTTGCATTTAATTTTCAACAACAGACACACATTTACAGACAATCCTCTGTATTCCATTCACAAGGATTGTATACTTTGTAATATCAGCCAACTCTTTACAATCCAAGTTGTACGTTTAGTCATTTTACCTGTTATATCTGGAAAGATTCAGACAAAATGCAAGAGTTTTCCAAACATTTCTTTTTCTAACCGACGTATCCAGTTTCAGCTTAGTGTGTTCACCCATAGTGAGGACAGATTAGAGCAGTATTAGGATTTGACACCCACCAAAACCGAACTGACAACTCATGCAAAACAAAAACATGTCCATCAATTCTGCCAGGTTTTCTTTAAGCTCTTATTTTGAATGTTCTTAAATGATTACTAATTCATCCACCTGTTTTTTAAGTCGCTGTTTGTTTTTAGTCTCTAAATAGCCTTGTGTCTTCTGTCACTATGTATTATGCATTGAACTTCCTTGTAGTGCACAAAGTGATTGTAAAATCATAATGTGTTGTGTTCCCTGAGCACATTTCTGTCTCACTAATGTGCCCTCTGCTGAAGAAAACCCAAGCACCGGAGGAAGATGGATAGTGAGGCAAATAATCCTGTTAACTTTTCATGAGTTTGCAGACATATTTTTTTCTTTAATGTGTTTATCATGACTCATGAGCTTCTCTATAATGGCCATTAACATATGATTATCATCGCAAGGCTAATAGGGGTTGTCTCTTGTTCTCTACTTCCACTCAGCTGCCTGATTCACTTTTCTAGATCTTTTCTTTCTGTGTCTTTTCTCTTCTCCTTTTTAGCATTTTCATCCTGTCTTTGCCGTCCTTTTTCTTACGTGCTTTCACTCTTCCATTAGACTCGTTTTTTTTCTGCCCTGCAGCCCTTCAACATCCCAAACTAAATCTATACTCCCACACAATGCTCTCCAGTATTGCTTAATTATCTGAGGCCTGTCATTTCACTAATGTGCAGAGTTTTTCTTAACATTTCCTTTTATGTTTAGGTTGATAGATGTTTCTTGTCCTCTTTTAACTTTTCCATGTCCTGCTCTGTTCCTTCTCTCTCACCTCTGACCGGGAGAACTTTTTAACCC